GGCAGACACTGGCAGTTGGACCTGGTGGTCCCCCAGTGCCACTTAGCTTCTGTGGAGGAAAATCTGTGGATTTGGCAGCAGCGGCACCTTCACTTGCCAAACAGGTTGCTTGGGGCACTGGGGAGCTGGCAGGGAGGAGGGAGCAGGGCTCTCTGCCTCCCCCTGCTCACCCAGCCAGGGTTACAGCTCTGTGATTTCCTTGTAAGATGATTAACTTTCTCTTAAGCAGCAGCTCCTGCTGCTGTCCCCAGTACGTATTTTGGGGCGCCGTGCCCCCCGAACACCGCGGGGAGGGGACGCTCGCCCGTGCCCGGCAGAGTGGCCACAGCCCTGGCCAGATGACCACACAACAGCTCCAGCTCTGCCTGCTGGCATGTGGCCAGGTGGGGACTGCCAAGGGCTCAGCAACTCCCTCAGCCAGCAGTGCATCTGCTGCCCTGCACACACACTGCCCCGGCTGAGCCCACAGCTCACGGGCAACCACACCTGTGCTGTCTGTCCTGGCACACAGAGAAGCTTAGCATGTTCTCAGCTCCCCGGGGAAACCACCAGCCTGGCAAAACGAGGTTTGGCACTACCACCTCCCCAAGTTCCACCTTCACAAACATATATGCACACCCAGACTATGCACACACGTAACAACAGGTTGCTGCTCTCGGCCAAGTGAGTGCTCATTGAAATCCTGCACTTACTACACACACTACAGGCCCACGAAGGGGCTCAGAAGACACCAACTGTGGGTGTCATTGGACCTTCTGTACTTTAAGGGAGTGCTGCCTAGTGGGTGAACCCCTTGCTGTGGCCTCTGTTGGAAGGAGAAAGAGCCATTTGATTTCAGAAGGCAGTGCTGGCATGGCTCAGACAGACCATGCCCTCATTGCTCAGATGAAACGTGCCCTCAAGAGGCTGTGTTTCCCCAGCTGCTGCAAAGGCAGCTCAGGGTGATTAGTTCAGTAGATGTTTGTGCTGTTCTGCAGAGTCAGGCAAGAATAATCCCTTCCAGTCTGTCATGGTCCAGACACTGCTCTCGCTACACGAGATGAACACAGAAGTACAAGAGCAAAGCTCTGCTCCTGAAGGTTTCAGCTGAAGTTAAAAAATGGGGTCTAGAGACAGCAAACCCAGGACTGGTCTGGGTGGAGTAGGACAGGATCGTAAGCAGTGCTGTTTTAAACCTGTTGCTCATGAGCAGGTTGATACCAAGCTTTGCTCAGCTCCATGGGAAGCTAAACAGCAACCATAGAGGTCAGCTTTGAAACCAGTTTGCCATCTCCTCTCCAGTGTGTTGCTTTGCCAGTAACACCAAAGGACCAGGAAAATCAGGGACTTGCTGCTCTGCGTTCATATGCACATGTTCACCAGGGACATGGGAATGTCTGTGACAGCTCAGGAAACAAGCACATAAATCCCTTACCCGGTTGTCCTCTTGAATCTCCCAGTCGCTGGAGAAGCTCAACACATGCTGTGCCTGGGAGCAGTTTGAGAACTGGAAAAGGCTGGCAAACATCCTTCTGTTCTCCTGGGTGTCCGGGAAAATCGCCTCCTGGAAGTTGACTCCATGTGGCAGAAGGATGTAGTTCTCATCCATTCTGGAACACAGATTGCAGTGTAAGGGTCAGCAGCACTTCCTGCTGCAGAAGTCATCCTTCCCACTTCAGCCTGGCTCCACCAGTGCCACCAAAGCCACACGGGCTCTCAGCTTTCCTGGCACTTGGTCTCCAAGCCGGCAGTTTCCCCCGCGGGGACAGGATCAGGCAGCAACAGGAAGGACCCAACAGCTCCCACCACCCTGCAGGCACCAGTGAAACCCCACAAAGGAGGCAAACCTATGGTTTGGCCCACGGTTCCTACTGAATTTGCATCACTTTGCCCTTGATCCCAGAGTTTAAGTACTCCTTCAAACAGTCAATAAATAACTTCTGCAAAGTGTGTTTAAAGACACTGCTGCAGACTTGGCCCTGGGCAGCATCAAACCCAGTTTTGCTGAGCGCCAGGGTAAGAGCACACTAGTGTTTCACAACAAGCCGCCGAGTAGTGTTTCACCAACGACGCTGTGGATTGGAAGGTCACGGCGATGGCTCCGTTCCCACACTGGGGTTTATTTTCTTACTCTTTCGGAGAGCCCAAAGCCAGGGCTTGGCTGGGGCTCGGCAGAGCCGATGGAAGC